GAGATGAAAGACAGCCACTTGCAACGATGTGGATAGACTTCGAGATGATCATGCTAAGTAAAATAAGCCAGACAGAAAAAGTTTAAACCAGATGATATCACTTATATGTGGGATATAAACCTAAAAGCATCAAATGAACAGGACAAACAGAGACTCATGGACATGGACAATGGACTAGTGGTTACCAGAGGGTAGGAGATGGGGGAAGAGAGGGGAGGTAGATGGGGTAAAGGGGGTCAAATATAGGGGGGTAGGGGGAAGGTGAAGTGGGTAAATGGTGTCAAATATATGGTAGCTGAAGGAAATGGCTTTGGGTGGTAAACACACAGTAGAATATAGAGATGTCAAATGATAATGTACACCTGAAAATTATATAATTATATTAACCAATGTTACCCCAATAAACTTAAAAAGAAAAGTAACGCGTGTACTTAAAAATGGTTAAGATGATAAACTTTCGATGTGTATCTTACCACAATTATAAAAAACTGTAATGCAAATTTAAACCAAAACATGGACCCCCTTCCTTTTTCCTATACTGTAATATAACAGTACAGTTCTCTATATGCCACCTTCCACCTCCTAAATAATTAACCTAGTAGATTAAAAAGCCTGTTGACTTGTATTTAAAACACGTATTCAAACACTGTTGCTCTCCACAGATACCATACCAAGAACTTCCATGTGTGATCATGATTACCTTTGGTTATAATTAGCTTGGTTTTTCAGTTTTTTAATGTAGAGTTTTCAAGTCTGAAAAAAATCTATATTTTTATGAAAACAATTGAACATTTGTAGAATTTCAAAAGAAGACGGCACTGTCTAGGGTACAGGCCCTAGAGATATGGCAGTGGTGTGACCTAAGGTCCACATGTTTACATATTTTCTATTAAAAGGGTGACATCACAAAAACACTAAAGTATACTGCCTCAGCTAACAGGATTTAGCCTGATTTGCCACTAACCCTGCCCTTTGTGATGTTTAATTTTTATGGTAAGTTTGGTGGGCCAGATAAAACATAGTTTCTGGGTGTCTCTGTGATGGTGTTTCCACGTGAGATTAGTATTTGAATTGGTGGAATCAGTAATTAGATTGTCCTCCCCAGTTTTGGGGTGGAGGAAGGAATAATTCACCCCCTTCTCTCTGACTGCATGAGCTGGGAGATCTCATTTCATCTCCTGTCCTTGGACTGGGATGAACATCAGCTCTCCTCCTTCTCAGGTATTTGGACTCAACACTGAATAACACCACCAGCTGTCTAGGGTCTCTGGCTTGCAGATTGTGGGGTTTCTGAGCCTCCATAATCTCGTGAGCAATTCTTCATAATAGATCTCCTTTTATATTCAACTGGTCTGTTCCTCTTGAGAACCATAACCCATATACCCTCTGACCTTGGGCAAATCACTTGGCTTCTCTGTGCCTCAGTTTTCTCAATTGTACAATGGAGAATCTGATAGTCTCCAAGGTCCCTACCACTCTATGATTCTATCATCCCACAGAAAGGAAAACATCTCAAATAACCTGGGCAGGAACATGTAAAGATAGGACTTCTTCTGTAGACTCAACATATCCATATAGCAATGCAGAATTAGTGTGCATACAGAAAACTCATTATGTCTAAATGAATACTAAAAGCTGAAGAAAGTTTAGCTGGTAATTTAATAGGTCTTTCATTTTAGAGCAGGAAACTAAAACCCAATGAGTCCAAGAAATGTGTCCAAGGTCTCAATGCTCATGGAGATTAGAGGTGGAAGGAATTTTAGAGATCTTTTAAGCTAGGATTCCCAAGGTGGGGAGAGGAATTTCATGCCCTCCTTATTCAGAATTACTGCTGTAGCAAACCCCACTACCACTGAAGAATCAGGGTATTAAAAAAAAGCTAATAATCACTGATTTAGAGCTCAGTCTTTTTGTTTTCCTGGTGAGGAAATTGAGATCCAGAGACACTAAGATCAGGTCAAATTGTAAGCTGGAGAGATAACAAAAACTAGAGCCAGCTCACTGACCCATCCATTCACCCATCACAAACCTGTAAAATGGCCACTTCAGGACCGACAACATGCTATATACTATGTTGCTGTACATGTGTGGGATGGAGGTACAGACAATGAATGAGACAAGTATGGCAGACAGTATTTTCCAAAAATAGCCCTGCCAACATACATACTTGTCTTACAGCACGACTTGACACTTTTCCACTGAGAGGAGTTTAAGTTCTCTCTCCCTAAACCTGGGCACATTTTAAAACTACCTTGACCAATACATCTTGACAGTGGAAGTGACATGGCATGACTTCTAAGGTTAAGTCATAAAGGCAATATGACTTCTGCCCAACTCTCTCTTTTGGGGCTCTTGCCCCTGGATTTGGCCACGATGGTGTGAGGAAGGCTACATGGCAAGGCTCTGTGTATAAGTTCTGGCTGACAGCCCCAGCCAGGCCCCTAGCTGGCAGCGAGCGTCAACATGGGTAAGTGAGTGGGATGGTTCCAGCCTCAAGTTTTTGATTCTTTACGTGGAAACCTAGTCACTGAGGAGCATTCTCCACAGCACATGCCCAGTCTGAATTCCTGACCTCCAGAATATTCTCCATCTAGTCTTTCATGGAACTTCAAGGAGTTGAGATTCCACATGTATTGTTTCAGAGCTGGTGAGACTACAATGATGCCACTTTAAGTTCAAAATGGCTCATGGGTAATGCTGGTAATTCTGTTCGTGCTCCAAGATCCATGGCCATACTGAAGATCTTCAGTTTGGATTAGAGTCTGGTGCCTTGTTGGTGCATCTCTGTCATTTAGGATATGATGGTCATTTTGAACTGACACCAGAAAATTACCCAATAATTATTCAACTACGTCTTATACAGGTGACCAAATTTACCACCTGGCTCTGGTGACTCATGACAACCTCTGAGGTAAGGTTTCTCTACTGTACATCATGTGAGCTCAAACTGATTTATGGGCAGGTTTTACTGGTGATACTAATAATTCCTACTTCTTTGATGTAATATATATTGGCAACTGTGATATAGACATTGAAAAGTAGATAGCTGTGATAACAAGACCCATTCCAAAGACCAAACGAGGACTAAGTCCTTGGCCTTGAGATGCAGGCTGGCCTGGGGCCTGGTTTCAGAGGGCCTGGATAAGCACAAAGACCTGGTTGAAAGCCAAAATGAAGAAACTAGATTTGTCATTTCTGTCCATCCTGCTCTCTGTCTTGACTGAGTTTTAAAGAGTACTACAGTTCTCCTTTGCAATCCTCAAAAACACAAGGCATTTCAGTTTTGGTGGGGGCAAATTTTACTGGAGAAAAACCTGAGTGCCAAAGGACTATGAAGGGGCAAAAAAGAACTAAAAATACAATAAAGATTTAACTGCATAATAAAACATTCTACCAGCAGATGGCAATAGAGGACTTTGTGAACAATTCTGGCAGCTGGGTTTTGAAATGCTGGAAGGTAGCTTTTAACAGCTATTGTATAAGTGATGTATGTATTTGGATTCTGCTCAATGTTACATATGCATTACTGAATAAAACATTCACAGTGTCTTTTCCGCTAGCAGCTGAGCTCCAATTCTAAGCTTCTGAGCCCCAATTCCCAAGGCTCAAAGGAGCCCCTGACATTAAATTGCTTTCCTTTTTAGAATAGCTGCTTCATACCCCAGAAAAAGAAATGCTTAAAGAGAGAGGGTGAGAGAGGTGTGATGTGACCGCATTACCGAAATGGCTTACCACATATGTGTTAGGAAAAGCACATGTCTGTCAGCTGGATTCCTCAAGGCAAAGTTGTCTGGGGCTTCCCTGAGCTCCTGCTGCCATTTTCTGGATTTCTTCCATCTCACTCTGCTTTGCTCAGCACTACTGCACCGACAGTCTCCGGGGAGCAGGGGGCTAGCTTCAGCTTGGATAAGGAAAAGGAGTGGCTCATTTGTAAGAAATATGTCAAGTATATTTTAAAAAGTTCTCATGCGGGGTATTAAATCACGGGGTTTTGCTTCCTGTCCTTTCTAGACTCTTTGGCTGGGAAATCTCTTCAACATCCCAAACAACACTGAGCTGGAACTATCTGGAAGCTATATTTATGTGGTGCTTGCTCTGAAGGCTGCCTGGCCTTTTCTGGCCAAGCCTCTGCTTTTCCCATGTGGTTTCTCAGCCTCTGCTTTTCCCATGTGGTTTCTCGGCCAAGGCTACGCCAGATGACTTCTAAGGCCAGTGATGTCTGACACATGTGATGCTTTGACATGCCACAGTGAGAAGGTATGACCACACTGCTAGCAAAAACTCAAGGTGTGATTTGGCTGGATGGGGGCGGTGGGGGGCGGGGGGTTGCATCCAGATTAGGAAATACCCCTCATTGAGAATGTGTTTGAGAGGCAGAATGGCAGGCTCGATCATGACATTTCTACAGAAACGTGGTTACTACAGAAAGCACAGTGAGATAAGCAATGCTTACCTACCGCTTCAAGTACACAACAAGTTAGTATTCTGGCTTTAGTCACAATTATGTCAAATTAGTTCAAGTCTGAGGCAAGCTTTTCTTGCTCCTTATTATATTTGCCTCCCCTTAGTTGTTTCTCTATTTGAACAAAGGTAAGGAAATGCAATTATGATAAGTAGGGATATTATGTCATTTTGCAGAAGAAAATGAGGTTTATAAAGATTAAGAAGCGTGCTCAATTTTATACAGCTAATATGTGACAGAGCCAGGACCAAAAAGGAGCCAGAACTAAAACCCAGAGTTGGACAGAACGTCGAAGTCAACGCTCCTCACCATTGTGATGGTGAGGGCTATGGATGCAGTCTTTCTCTGGCACAGCTAAGGTCTTCCTGCCCACAAATAAAAGCTTCATTTAAAGAGAAAGTAATATGACCCTAGTCATTAGGAGAGGAAAAAAAAAAAAAATCACAGGAGAGATGGCTGCTAAGGACGAAAAAAGAATAAACTTAAAATGTCATGCATATTCATATGAAATGGTATAAAACAACAGCAAGGTCACCAATATGACTTTAATAAACACTCATTACATGTGCCTTCATCTATACCCATGGCTTCATTACCAATGCTATGACAGCAGTGACTCTTAAGTCTATATTTCTAGACCAGACTTATCTCTTAAGTCTCCAAACTAGCATCTTCAATCTTTAAATTATCTCCAGAGTTCATCCATTCTTTCCCGCTCCTATTGTCACCCTCTTCCCTCAGCCTTCAAATTATCTCTTACTTGGATTAGATCTTCTATCTGGACCTATGCCTCCATTATAAACACTCAACAATTCTTTTCATTACTGCAGTTCCTCTAGCACTTATTTTAGATGCTGTCACTTCACTGCTTAAAGTATTCGAATCTGCTCTCACTGCATATAGTGCTTAGCACACTGTATTCATACTTGCCTGCCTCATTAGACTGCAAGCTGCCTGAGCACAGGGTGCATCTCAGTCGCCTGTATAGCGCTAGCCAGTAAGCTTAGTGGTAGTGTGGGGGGCATTTCTTCCCTTGTTGGCCCTAGTAGACAAACGTCTGTGAGGTAAATAAACTGTCAAAGTGCTGAGTGACCCCTTATTAACACCCTGTCCTTACAGAGATTAGACCTTATTTGGATTGAAGAACAGGCCCGTGCATCTATCTCACATCTCATGCTATCTGAGGTAGGTATCGTTATTACCATTTTTATCAGTAAGAAAATGCAGAGTAGTTAAATGTGATAATTTATCTAAGGTCACAGAGCTGGTAAAGGGAGAGCAAGGATTCAAATCCAAATGCTCACTTAACCAGTAGCACTAGGCAATACCGGGAGTACTTGTTAAATGCAGGTTCCCAGGCCCCACATACTAAACTTGTGGTGGCTGAGACTATTGGTTGCCCATTCCCAGCTGCTCTTTCTTTGCCTCCTTCCATCCCAACAAATCCTCCTGTAAACCTCAGTGGTTCAGCCTCCCGTAAACCTCAGAAAAGACAGGCCTATCTCTAGCCCCATGGTGTCAACCTTCATTGATCTAAGCCAATCATGATGTTCTCAATCTACCTGCCTACTGAACAGTTTGGGCACAATCATATACTACAACCCTGGTAATTGTGACTAGGAGGGAGGATGGCTGGAACCTTCTGGAAAAGGTTTCCTTACTCTTAAAAAAAGACACAAGTCAGAGACTTTCCTTTTTTTTTTACTGCTGGATATTGCCAAGCTGGAGCCAGGAGGGCTAAGGGCCACGGAATGAACCAACCCTAGACTTGTTATATCAAGTAGCCCCAACACCTTCTCATGTCAGGTATTTGCAGGGAGAGAGCAACCACCAAAGATGGTTACTTTGGATCAATTTGCCAAAAAATGGGACGGCATACGAGAAGACAGCATGAAGATTCATCAAATGATCTCGCTACCATTTCTCTTCTCAGAGGCAGTGGCTTCTCCTGGTTGGGAGACAACCCCCTCTTGGCCTACAATAAGCCATAATCACTGGTAATACTAAGTTTGAGGTTGATGCTTTAATGATGCTCTTAATTGGGTGAAAGGTAAGCTCTGCTATGATGTTTGTGTTTGAGTCAAAATTTTTTTTTAGCAATTTTAATATATATTTATGTTCTATGTGAACTCTTTTTATTACCTCAACCAAACAAAGATGTGTGGGATTTTCTTTACTTTAACCAGTTAAACTATTTCCAGGAAGTAAACATGTGCAGTCAGTCTAGCTGATGTTATAATATTTTAACCTAAACTTGGGCACAGGTACTATAGGCTACCAATAAAAAATGGATTCAGTTTCACTCAAAATGCCTGTGACCACAGGTAGCAGTGTTCCCTTTCCCTGAGAACTGGGGATCAATGTGAAGTTATGGTTTAAATCGTGTCTTATCAGTATCCACAAAACATATTGCCCTAAGCAAAAAAAGTCCTTGGATTTTCTTCCCCAAATTTTATATATGCTCATATGACTGTTTTATAAACAGATAACTTTTAATCTTTGTTTGAAGGAAGACAGGAAACAAGGATACAAAATTCATAGTCATAAAATATTTCAATGCGGAGAAGTAGGGCTTGTTCATCTTCTCTCCCCAGTGGTGACTTCTTCATGTTAGCAAGTAAAGGTAGGCACCGGTGAACTAGGGGATAAGTTATCCCCTTCTGTCTCACCGCTCCTTTCTCTTTTATTTTTCCAAAGAAATAACAGTGTGGAACTTTGTTAAACCAAATTCTCCTGTAAGCCCCAGAAGCTCTAGGTCTCATTAATAAGCTACACTGATAAGAGGTTATTATCTGACTTTTCTTTTGTAAATTAATTAGCAGCTAAGGTTGGAGAGACTTCCTTCCCATGTGGACGGAGTGGCTTACAGTGGGGAAGCCAGGACACGGGGCTTTTCAGTGACACTTGGACTACACCAGGAAAACAACTACTGTCTTCTTATAGTTCCTGGAATGTGCCAAGCTCTTCAGCACTCAGGGTCTCTGCACAGTCTGTCTCCCCCACTATCCCCACACGGATACTTGCCCTTCCCCATCCTCCCCTTAACTCACCTCTACTCATTGCCAGGTCCCAGATTAAATGTTACTTGCTCAGAGAAGATATCCATGATTGGCGTCCCTTGTCATCTCAGGCAGCCCTTGTTAACAGAACCTAATTCTGCTTATTGTGATATATTCATCTGTGTGTTTACCTGTTTAATGTCTGTCTTCTCAGACTGAGAGCTCCTGAGAGTAGGGGCCGTTCTTATTATTGTTCACTCCTCCGTGCCTTGTACTGTATCGAGCGGGAATTTATTGAAAACATGAAACATAAAGCAGTAGCAAAGGCCTTTATAAGCCTAAGGCTATGAGATACTTGCAGTTTAGTAGGGGGCTGACTTCACATGCTATAATGGGCCATGAGTTAGAACTCAGATTTTAGTCTTGATCCGTGTGTACACTTGAACTGTCACCCAGAACAAGTCACCGTGCCTTCTAAATGTTTTCAAGTACAAAACATAGATAAAAAAATGAGAAAGCTAATTAATTATGGAAAAGGTTTTTCTTTTAATGGAAGAAAAATTTCAGATTACTAGACAGGTAATAACCTTTACCTAGTGAGGAAAGACAGACAGACAGACAGACAGACAGACAGACACACAACACACACACACAACACACACACACACACACACACTCTCTCTCTCTCTTTACAACAACCAAGAAATCAACTCTACCAAAACTATAGCAACAATAATTACTGAAAATGATAACCTCTTATGTGAAATCATTTTCTATTGATATGTAAGATATATGATGAAATAACTGCTAATTAAACCTATAAATATATAAGTACCGTCTCATTTATAATATACTTCCAAATATAAAATTAAATGTGGGTTTTGGATTTCTTTTCAGAACTTGTTCCATTTCTTAATTATCTAGAATAGCTCCTTTAACAAAATTTCATTTTTTTGACATGTTTGATATAACAAAACTGTACTTTACACTGAAATTTTGTATTAATTATTACATTTTTTAGAGTTTTAGGATGACACCATGTTTCAGATAAATGGTTGGTTTAGTAATATTTAGCCAATTTAGCTTTCTGTTGGATGTACAATCCTGAGTGTTCATTATTAACTCAGTGAAACTTCATTAATCTGTGACATTTTTCAGGCTTTCAAAAATATAAGTGAAATAGGTACAAATATGGCGATATTAAATAATATTATAGATATATATATAAAATGAAGACAATAAAATGAAGATGTGAAAGAAACCACACTACATGGGAAGAGCATGCTAACAAAGAAGCACTACAACAGTAAGCCTTCCTATAAAAAGTTTTTCACTTCAAAGCCTCTTACAGTATTTTACCACCATTAGCCCATTAATTCTTCTAGGTGCTGAGGACATGTTATCAAGGATTGGTGTCTGGGTTGTTATCTTAGACATTGA